TTCCATATTCTCAAGAAAAAAGCCCCAAATTTGATAGAAGTTGTTGGAAGATCCCCTCAGGGAATGTCTAATTTTTTCCAGTTTGATAAAGAGAAAAATCTCGTTAATCCATATTGAGTGGGTTAGGTGACGCGGATGATACCCAGTGCATTAGAATTAAACGTCTAGCCAGGAGGGAAACAAAGGCCACAAAGTCTGCCTGGTAACTGAAGTGATGAACTGGTAAGGGAAGTGCCCTGAAGAGCGCTGTTATCGCTACAGGTTTAAATGTTGTCCCAACTATTTGAGATATTGTCTCGAATATCTGAACCTAATAACCATGCAACCCTGGGCAGGACCAGAACATGGGTGCCAGGGTTTTTTTTTTTTACTGTTTTAAAACATAAATCAAGTAATCACGTCTTTGCTAGTTTACAATTCTTAACCATGCAAAATTTGTATCACATTATTTATGCAAGTATTCAGGTGCAACAGACACAAAAACTATATTTTTGGCTTAATGTGACCCACAACTATAAATAATAATAATAATAATAATTAGTAATTGTTGACTAACACCATTAATCTTTTAAATGAAACCACCGTTTAACAACTCTTTGACCAGCAACATGCTCATGAGGTCATCAAACCACAGCGATAAAGCGTGATATTTAACAAAAGTAAATCAAAAAGGTGTCAAATATGCAGCGAGACATGAAATGCTTGCAAACCACAAGTTCCCATCTGTATGCAAAAGAAAGGCTGCAAATGTACGTGCAAATGTAACTACTGCATTGTTTTATTGTGGTTTTCAGGATATAACAAACACACGTCTGTTTTCAAGTTCACATGGCCTTTCACAGCTTCATACATTTATAGATTTACACTTATAAACAAGAATGAATTATTTACAGCTGCAATCCTTAGTGATGTTCGACATACAGTACCAACAAGACCTGCACAAAAATAATAACTTAATGCTTTTAGTGTCGTAACCTCAAACAGATGAACTCGGTCGAACATTCACAAATATATGCGTATGGTTGATTGTTCAAGCATGTATAAAGATAAAACATTGAGACTTGTTAAGAAGCATCATTTTGCTTTCCAGCATTGGGTCATAAAAAGTGCTCGGGAGCTCTCGAGGTCATTACGAAAAAGTATGTCAAACGATCACATTCAGCGGTTGTTGCATTGGATTTGTTGTAAAAAATATGTGAAAAATTCATACAGATGTACTGTACATTTCCAGGTTTCTACGGAAGCTCATTCATTTCCCCCACGGGATAAAAAAAAACGTTTTATCCCACTATTCTGACTTTTTTCTAAGAAATGTGAGATATACAGTAAATACGCAATAGCGAGTTACAAAGTCAGAATTGCGAGATATAAAACTCGGAATTATGACTTTTCTTTTTCCTCGCAAATGTGAATTTATATCTCAATTCAAAAAATGTTTCTTACAATTGCAAGTCTATATCTAGCAATTCTGACTTTTTGTGCAATCATGAGCTTACAATTGTCAGTTATATTAAATACGCAATTGTTAGTTATATAATCAGAATTACGAGATATAAACTCGGAATTCTGACTTTTTCCCCCTCGCAATTGCGAATTTTTTTCCTCACAATTGCGAGTTTACATCACGCATCACGTCTTAATATAAACTCGCAATTCAGAGGGAAAAAAAATTTAGCTCAAAATTCTGACATTTTCTTACAATTGCGAGTTTGTCGCAATATTTATATCATGCAATTCTGGAAGAAAAAAACAAAAAAAGTCAGAATTGCGACGTAGCTGTTTTTTAATTCAGTGTCGGAAACAAGCTTCCATAGGTTTCACAGGTCAAAACATCAGTGGTATCAAGCAGAAAAACAGTAAGAAAATTGTTAATGCGAGAACTTTGGCAGAAGATTTGTGGCGAACGCAAAGCAATGCGCAAATACAAAAACACTGGAGTCGATCGGTCCAGTTCCAGATAAATAATCAAAATACGTGACGAGAAACATCTGCGTAAACAAACCAGTTTTGTTTGGACAGTGCATTTATCAGCATGAAACTTCATGGACTGAGTGGGTTTTCTCCATATCTGCATGTAACTTCGTAAAAAACATATTTGATAAACTATAAGTCCTTTTCTGTAAACAGTCCGGAATTGTAAATACGAAGACGTAACAACGTACACAAGACTTCAAAAACAGCGACAGTTCCAGTGATTTGAACACATTTTAGGCCTTATCCCGTTGCGAGTCGGGCAAAGGCGCTCCCGCCATCGGGAGCCGAAGTGAAATGCATTATGGGGGGAAAAAACGTGACCTTTGTTCTTCTAATCGCATTTGAAGCTCAGAAATGGACATTTCAGCCGCTTTATCTCACTCTCGCTGCTCTGAGATAAAGACCATTAGCACCCGTGAACCAAAGTGCTCCTGGCAGGCGGCCAGGAAGTGGTGCGTTAAGGGATGACAGCTTCCTGTACATCAATCAAAGGCTAAGAAAGGCCACGTTGGCAGCGTCCTCGTCGCGCTCCGCCTCTCCTCCGCTGTGCGCCGCTGTGTTTTTCCTCTTCGCCTGTCGGCGAGTCCTTTGCGCGGGTGGCAGCAGGAGAAGGAAACCGGCGGGATTTTGGGGAGAGACCAGAGAGGAAGAGACAGACGGACTGGGAATGCTTTGGATGGACGAGTAGCCCGAGCTGCGGTGGTCTGTGCAAAAGGTGCTCGAGGAGGAGGAGGAGGACAGGTGGTGCTTCCAGGGTCCCGTCGCCTCCTCCTCAGTGTGCTCTTCACAAAGGCTGTCGTCATCGCTGGAGAGCGCGCAACAATGCGTCTGTCTGTCAGCACACTCGACCGCAGGCTCTATCTGCACCTCCATAGCCGATACTGAGGCAGAAAGAGATTTGGTTACTCATAAAACGGTTTTTAAATGAGTGGGATTGAAGAGGTGTTTGGGCAATTCAAACATCACGAAAGAAGTAGCCATGAAAATATACATTATTTAATGTTGCTCACATCATAGTAACTTCTTTCGCCCATGATGCACAAAATGAGATTTTAGGCAAAGCCTGAGCTTCTATTTTCAATACAACCAGACACTTATGAAACGGCATAAAAGTCACCCATTCAAGCTGTGTGCTACAGTTTTTATACTCAGCCGCATTTTTAAAAACTTATTAATAAGTAACAATTTGAATTATTTAATTTTAAATTACATTTTTAAAAATTACAACATATTAACTAATAATAATATTAATTCGTAATACATTTAATAAATAATTTAATGAAATAATTACATTTTGATGAATTAATTTGAATTCAATTGTGAAAATCCATTTTCATTTTTACAAATATTTGACAATAAAATATTAAGAATGAATGAATCTCAAGTTGATGAACTCAAGATGTCGTGACACTAATGTGACTCATGCTTCAATAACAACTTTGCCTTATTGTTTTTGTGTAAGATGAATCAGAATATGATATAGCTGATATATGAGCCACCCCCCCCCCCATCCCCCCCACTTACTTTCCCTGTCCTTCTCGCCTTCACTCTCCCGGTCGCCCTCGTAGCCGGAGTAGGAAGTGTCCAGGCTCCAGTCCAGGATGTCTCCCAGCAGCATCTCCTCCTGAGTGGACAGCTCGGCTGTGGGCGTGGCCAGGAAGCTGCCCCGGTGCGCCTGCATGCTGTCCTCTCGCCTCCTGATCAACAACAACAACAAAAAGTTAAAATAAATAAATAAATAAATGTTTTTGGGAAAAATAAATAAATAAATAAAATAATATATATATGTATGTGTATATATATATATATATATATATATATATATATACAGTGGGTACGGAAAGTATTCAGACCCCTTTAAATAAATGTCAACAATTCTGTGTTTTTCTGTCAATATGGGGTGCTGTGTGTACATTAATGAGGAAAAAAATTAACTTAAATGATTTTAGCAAATGGCTGCAATTTAACGAAGAGTGAAAAATGTAAGGGGGTCTGAATACTTTCCGTACCCACTGTATATATATATATATATATATATACACTGTGTGTATTGTATATACAAAGTTGCATTTACTTGATCAAAAAAAAAGCAATATTGTGAAATATTATTACTATTTAAAATATTCAGGTGCCTTGATAATTTATTTTAAATACATATATAAACTCTAATTTAAAAAAAAAGTTTTACAATTGATGCAATTATTTAATAAAAAATTTAATAAAATGATAACAAATATTATAACTAATAATTAATACAAAAAATTTAATAAATAAAGAAATGTAACTAAGAATAAAGATTCTATTATATATTATAACTGAATAAAAATAATAATAAAAATGTTAAAAAAACTAAATGAATGACGATTAACTAACCAATTAACTAACAATATATTAGCAAATACACTTATTTTTAAATGATCAAGGTTTGTCTGTTTATATATGGCATACAATATTTTTCCTAATATTTTTCAGGGTCCTAGCACATAAAAAAAGAAGGACAAATTCTATACAAAACGTAGAAGAATAAATTGTGTACACAATTGTGGCAAATTGCAACTACTACAGTTGCAGAATTTAAAGGATTTTCTTAAATTACAGTGCCCCCTACAATCTGAAATGAATGAAATTTGACGTATCCTCCAACTGTCTTGGCGTTCATGTAGTAATATTGTGATTCCAAGATTGCACTCACGAGATAAAGGCCGTTACTCATTACAGGCTACACATGAAAAATGTTTCATATCCACCAAACGTAAAAAGTCAGGGTTCAAACACTAACACTATCCTGCATCTCGAGACAGGATATAAGCGTAAGCACGTAACGTGAGTTCACACCTCTTGCTGTTGCTGGCGGGAGAGGACAGGAAGGTGTGCATCTCTGTTAGCTGGGTGCTAGCGCTGGGCGCCTCCACCTCCGGCTCCACCTCTGGGACCTCCAGCACCTGACAGAGCTCCTTAAAGCCCATGACCTGAGACAGAAACACACGTCACATCACACACACGTCAGCTGAGAGCGGACTCCGAGAGAAGACGACGACACTCACCGCGTCTCTGCTAATCTGCTGGTATACGTCGTCCTCAAACCTCTGCTTGACTCCGGTCAGAGACACGTGTCTGTAGTCTTTGGGCACATCTTGACCGAAACTGTGAACGGAGAGAAACTTATGATTTGATTGAATGCATTTGATTTTTGCGACTGTTGCATGTGAGGTTGTGAGATGCAGCCTGACTGAGATCTTGACTGAAGCCCACGGAATATAATGCAACAATGTACACTGAGGTACGATATACACTTTACTAGATTTCAGTCACGACTGAAAGGCAGTTATCAGCTGCGGGTGACACAACTAAAGCACATATTCTCTCAATTGCAAATGTATTCTTAGAAATCGAAGCTAAATTTCTGTAGCGTGCAAAAGGCTTTAAAGACACCATGAAACCAAAATGACAGCATTTACTTTGTAAATAATAAGAATAATAATAATTTTATATAAAACTAAAATAATGACCAATTATAATTAATAATATAAAATCACATACTAAAATTGTAACATTAATAATTATAATATCACTAATATAAAAACAAATAACACCAATAAATTCATAGATAAATTAATAATGATGATAAAAGTAATAAACGACAATTTCTAACAATATTCAACTAATAACATTAAAATTCATATAAAAATATTAGAACTAATAATAAACTTAATATTAAAACAAATAATAAAAATTCCAAATAATCTAAAATAAAATGTATATATATATAAATAAAATAGTAAACCTAATATAACAAATAAATCAATCAAATAATAAATTATATTGCATTACTAAATTAATTAGAATAAATTAGATAACTAATAATACATGTAAACAACATTAATAAAAATAATAAATATTAAAACTAATAAAAAATACTATAACTAAAATTCTAATATTAAAACAACTAATGTTATAACTAATAACAAATATTATTGATATTGTAATATTAAAATAATGTATATATAGAATTAACAAATATAAAAACTAATTGATACAAAAACATATATTAAATTAATTATACAGATTACAAAAATTATAATGCAAAAGCAATATTAGTTAATATTAGAATATTTGTAATTATTATAAGTTACAATTTATCCTCATTATTCGTCTTCACTAAATATATAATGATAATATATGTATTAATATTCATGTTATATTAGTTATAGTAATTAATTTAGATCTGAAAGGTCATATATTAATAGCAAACAAAAAAAACTAATACAATTCTTTGATTATTATTATTATTACAATTTTGAATTTCACATTCAAGGTTTCGCAGAGTTCAAATTATGGAGGTTTCCTGCATTTCATGCAACTTGGAAGCATTTTTTTTTTTTAATGAAAAAGTACAATTAAAATTTAGGGTCAGGAGGAGAGTCTCAAACAAAGCTGACATTAACTCCAAGAAAACACAACAGGCCCACAAGAAAAGACTACAACTTAGTTCCCATTTTTTCCTGTTTTCAGCCTTTTAAAGCATCAAAGTTCAATCCAACCTGTAGGCAGGAAAATTACACCTTGTTTTGGCAAAAGCCATTGTCCTTGAATGTATGCTTAGTGTAGAAAGCAATTCCAGAACGCATTTATTTATTTTATTTATTTAGTCATTTATTAGACGCTTTTATCCAAAGCATTGCGACAAGCTCAATGAAAACACTGATTGAAAACAGCAGAAAAAAATAGGAAACGTCAAAAGAAATATAAATTCATTAGGAACTGAAAAGTACTGATAAAAATAGCTTAGTTTTGTTAGAATGCACCATTTCACCCAATATTCATGTTCACAGTGTTTTTCTTTACATTTACATTTAATAATGTAAACTACAGCAATAATTAATAAACTAATAATGATAACATAACAAATAACAATAATAAACAACTAACTATTAATACAGAAATAATAAAACAAGTAATGATAACAAATATTATAGTATAAAAATAATTACAAATAATTCAAATGAAAAATGATAACTTGTGCTGTCAAATGTTTAATTGCGATTAAATCACATCCAAAATAAAAGTTTTTGTTTACAGAATATATGAATGTGTACGGTTTATATTTATCATGCATATATAAAAATACACAGTATATATTTTGAAAATATTTACATGTATATACATTTATATATATAAATATATTTAGTGTATAAACATTACATATTTTTCTTAAATATATACATGCATGTGTTCGTATTTATATATACAGTACACAGTATATACACATATATTATGTAAACAAAAACTTTTATTTTGGATGCGATTAATCATTTGACAGCACTAATTATAACTAAAATAAAAACAACAAAAACCAATAATATTAATAATATTTAAAACGTAATCAGTGCTGTTTTAGTATAGTTGATATACCATTATAGTTTCATATTTTGAATTAGATTATTTTATATAGTATGTTCTGTTAATACATGCAAACTACATTAATAAAAATAGCAAAAAAATATAACTAATGATAACAAAAATATTAATAATTGATTAAAAAACAATATATTAAACAAATTACAATGATTAGAAATGTTATAATATAAAAACAAATAATATAAGTTAATATTGAAATATTTATAATCACTATTTGTTTAATAGTATTTAATTGTTTTCACATTATTAGTTATAATACGTGTTATTAGTTCTAATTTATCAAAAGTTTTCGTGTTATATTAGTTACATTTGTTATTAATTTAGGTCTGAAATTTCATATACATTTTTATATTTTAAAAAATTTTCTGTTTCCACTTTAATTTTTGTTGACGTTTAAGCTCGACATTTTTATTCGCTTATTTAGTATTTATTTATTTAGGGTTCATCACAGAGGATGTGTCCAAGCTGCACCATCCAGACATAGATGGTGTTTCTTCAAACTAATGATAAAAACCATGCTAATAATGATAATAAATATTATAACGAATGAATCTAAAAAAAATTATAAATAAAAATAACAACAAATATTATAACAATATAGAAACGAACAATGATAATAGCCAGTCACACGCTACTAAGGGTGTTTCAAATCAGCCACATACGAGGTTCCTCTTCAGTGAGGATACTGCTTTAGAAGGGAGCTGCATACGTAGAAAGCAAGGCTGAAAAAAGCTGACGCTGTGCAACAAAAGCTGGACTTCTCAAACCCAGAGGAGCGCTAAAGCAGCCGCTGACTGTGCGCCTCAAAGGGCAGACGCGACAAGCGCAGATAACTCGTTATCCCCTCATTAACATAACGACCGCCTGACTGTACATCACTGCCTCCATGGAAACACTGAGGAGGAAACAGACCAGCCGCAATAAACGGCAACAGAGTAGGCTTGCCGCGATAAGACGGTGCTGACAGTGATACTGTTGTTAAGCCCCAACACCGCTTACGTCACTTGCCCACCGCGGCACCGACCCCCACCGTCGTTTAGATTTTTTTATAGTAATAAAAATCATTTAGTTTAGTAAAAGAACAGACACTACAATTAAAAACTGAGCCGAACGACAGTCGCATCACAGATTAGATTTCATTTCTGCAGTGAGGAGAGCGAGTCGAGCTGTCTGACAAGAAGAGTGAGGTGAGACCGACAAGACGATCGCGGATGATTTAGTTTCGAAACGAAATGCAAAAGCACCTGTTTGGCAGTATTTTGGGTTTTGAAAAGCCTGTTGACTTTTGCCGTTTATCTAAGGTGATTTTGGAAGTTTTTTAAACATTCGTTTCTTATTTAATTGGTTCCACAGTGTTTGCTGATTTTTACTTTATTTAAACTTTGTGTAATTTATTTATTTTATTTGACATCAAGGTGTATGCTGTGCCTCCAGGCTTTCTTACTCGTTTGCTAATAAACTTTCTACGTTTCTTATTTATTTGGTTATATATTATACATGTTTACTTATTTATAGTTTTGTATAGGCTACCTATTTAAACTTTATTTAAGTTATTTGTTATTTTATATTAGGCATAGCCTGCCCTATAGCATGGTGTATTTTTATTTGTTTTGTTAATAAAAGTTCTATGTTTTATATATAGGCTAAAATGAGTTTGAAGTTGTATTTTGTTGTTGCATTCAAACAATTGACGCCGAATTGACGCTAATTCGAAAGTAAAATGCGCACGGTGCTTTTAAGCTATTTAAAAGCAAGGAAAAGAGGGAAAACTCAAATGAACTAAAAACGAACAATTGCTTTACGCCGAATTGACTCTATTTGAAAGTGAAAGTAAAATGCGCGCGCCGCTTTTGCAAGCTATTTAAAAGCGAAGGAAAGCGAGGAAAAGAGGGAACGCCCCTGCCCCCAGTGTGATACAGGTATTATCGGTGTTGTCACACGTCGATTAACCCAGGGTGCGAACTACGGGGGAGCTAGGGGTTAGCTCGGCTCCCCTTAATAAAACATGGGCTCCCCTGAAAATGTGATATGTGAAATTTTGGGGGGTCTCAAAAAATATTGACAATGTGTTATTTTGACGTGCAATTTCAGTTTTGTGCAATGTGATCATTGTGGATTATTACGTGTAAAATTGCAAAAATATCATTCATTCATGCATGACGGCGATTTAAACCTAATTCACTTCAATAAAGATAACTATACATGCTATTCTTGTCATGAGCATCAAGGTGTGGGGCGCTGCGGTGTAAATTCCACTCATGTTTAGTACATGTTAACTCAAAGATTCGTAGAAAAAATATAAACGTTGGACTCTGTGGTCGATTCTGTGTTAAGGTAAGGCATGTTATTCGCAATTATGTGTTGTAGCTGGGTTGTTATAGGTCTGCGTGACTCTCGATGTCTTAGGCCTAACTGAACGGAGGAATTATGGTATTCTTCTGTAGCCTGACGACGAGTAACTTTAACCGTTGTTCATGTGAACTCAAAGACAGCCTGATGTTTTGTTTATAGACTATTTGTGGGTGGCTGTTTGTTGTTTCACCTATCAATTTGTGTCAATAAAGTATAATAGGGTAAATCATGTATAGGGATTTATCCTATATAGTGCTTGCATAAAGCAAGTAGTGCATACACTTGTAGCTGTTATGTATCTTTGTAAGCCCTCACGAACCCCCCTTCCGGAAAAACTTCCTCGGTGTGAATTAATTAGATGGATAACGTTGGACACTCACCACTTGACGTAGAGCGATAAAGCGCAGGAGACCAGCTCATGCTTGGAGAATCCGGTGTTTTCCTGCAGCTGGACGGGCCACACAGGAACTGTTGAGAAACACGTGTTAGGAAATCTCGAATGAGGCTCTCGTCTGAGTCAGTCGAATGCTTCGGTCTGGTTTTAGAGGCATGTGATCGGTGGTACCGTAGTTGTGCAGCGCTCTGGTGAGCAGCAGAACGGCGCTGGCGAGTCGGGCCGGTCCCGGGACGGTGAGGGGCGAGCAGAGCAGTGAGAGATCACAGATGTAGCTGAAGAGATGAGAGCTGCGCCGCTCCACGGGCAGCAGAGACTGCAGCACCTCCCCATAATCCAACACTGTGGGAGTCTGAAACGCAACATTAACATGTTAATTAGTCGGTTAACACAACAGTGCCAGTAAATAGGTAATGCAAATGGAAAAAAGGACCCTTTGAGGCTCAGAAAGAATGGCTTTGAACATCTGCGAGATAACCTTTCATTAGAGACAGACTGATAATCTGTCTTCCATGTAATTAGTTCTTAATTATCAGTTTTACAGATAAAACGGCGCCATCTGGTACGTCTTTGTCATTATACTGCTGTGCATTCAGCAGGAGGTCACATTGTTTTTAGACTTGTTATTATTATTCAATGCAATATTAGCCTTGTAAAACATTGGTTTTGCATTTCATTTATCCGAAATGTAAGTGAGTATCAGCTGTAAAGAAAATAAATAAACAGTCAATTTCGTCTTTAATTACAAATGATTCCAGTTTTTTAGTTTTATGTTAGCATGCTGCGAAGAAAGCTGCATAGCACTCTAAATATAAGTCTAAAAACAGAGTAAAACAATACATTGGTAATTAGAAATAATATTAATAAATAATATATTAAAATGATATGCATATATTTTATTTTATATACTTATATCTAAGATTTATAAAATGTTTTAGTATATAATACTCTAAAAATAGAGTAAAAATCGATTTATAATTAAAAACAATACATTAAGTTAACAAAATTATATTTTATATAAGATTAATAAAAACCTATATTTTTAGTATATAATACTATTAATGACTCATTTATCGTTAGAAATAATAAGAATATTTATATAAAATAAAATAAAATTACACCTTAAATAAAACTTTTTTTATATTATAACCAGGATTTTATATTATATACAAGATTTATAAAAACATATTTTATTATATAATACTCTAAAAATACAGTAAAATAATTTATAATTAAAAACAATATATTTTATATAAATAAAATATTTAGCTGAGTTATATCTAAGAATTATACAAAATACTTATTTTACTATATAATACCTAAAAGTTTCTATACTATTTGTATATTCCTGTAAAATATTTGAATATACAAAAGATTTTACAGAAATAAATACACAATTTATTATAGAAATTATAATTATATTAATATATACTTATATTTTACAGCTGGGCAAAACAATCAATATAAATAGACAAAAATAATTAATATAAATACAGGGTAAAACAATCTATTTTCAAATAGACTGCTTGTCAGTATTGAACGAAATGCATATATCCCTCTTGATGAATTTCTTTTCTTAAGCACATGGCAAGGCCTTGTGGAATAACCGTCGCATTGGCCGATGAGATCTTAAAATGCTGTCTAACAAGCAGCTCTCTCAGTTGAACTCTAAACTTCAGACACAAGGGTTACGTTCATCTGAGCCGGCAGCCTATAACGAGGGTTCTGTGTTGGTGTGAAAGCGCTTATGTCCGTCTGTAACTGACCCGTATCTTCCCGTCCAGCACGGAGATGACCTCCCCCATCATGCGCACCAGGTCCTCATACTGATAGGTGTTGTCGGTGAGCCAGACGGCCTCGCGGATGGTCAGGATCTCTCTGCTGATGTATCTGAGGGGTCAAACGAGACAGAAAGAGTTCAGCTGAGCACAGACACACCATTAACAGCGCGTCTCTGTGGCGGCTCACTCACCGTGTGCTGATCACCATGCAGGCGATGCCCAGGAGCTGCAGCTGCGCCTTGGGCACCGAGTGCCGGCTCAGATAGCGGTCCACACAGCCGATGGTCACGTGCAGCACCTGACTGGAGAAATCTTTCATGGTGGTCACCTCCACCAGCCAGTCCACCAGGATATACCTGGAAAACACAGCGGCGATGAGGGTGAGACATGAAGCCAGAAAAGCAAAGGATACAGGATTTGTTCAATACATCTGTGCTTTAATGAACAAACATTGAGAATTAAAGCCACTGGGGCCAAACTGACCATCAAGATGCTGTAATAGTGCTTGAATTATTGACATTCATGGACAAGTCTAGAAAAAAAAATTTTAACCACCACTAGGTCTTGGAAATATATATTGCATATTTACAGTATATTCACAAGGATTTTGCTGGCAATTAAAAAAAGCATGCAACACTCAATTAGTGTTATTTTAGTATTTACATACACTATTATATTATTTATCAAAAATTTGAATCAGCTTTTTGAATTAACATTTTCAGTTTTAATTTTAGTAATTTTATAGTGTAGCGAATCAGCTCATGGGGAAATATGAATAATTAACCATAACTAGTTATAATTAACTATTCAAGGTTTTAATCATTTTTATTAGTTTAGTTTTTTTATATTTCTATATAGCTTCAGGTTTTAGTACTTTTGTAATGTGTTTCTGTCTTTTAGCAGTTGTTAAAAATATTTCTATAGCGTTATGTTTTAGTAAGTTTGTTATACATGTTTTTGCCCTGTTTATTAGCTTTTTGAAATATTTCTATATAGCTTTAAGTTTTATTAATTTTGTTGTTTTGTAATTTTTATGTTTATTAGTGTTTTTTTAACACTAGTTATCTATCTATCTATCTATATATATATATATATATATATACAGTATATATACACTGTAGCTATAATTTGTTTTTAGATTTTAGTTTTAGTAATATTGCAACTTATTTTGTTTTTGTTTTGTTTTTTGCTTAAGAAACATTTCTAATCTTTATATGACCAAATATGATTTTAAATAGTTTTAGTTAACAATAAAAATATTTCACTCATTTTAATATCAAGTTAACATGAATAGGTGTTCACAACCCATGTTGTAACAATAATAATAACAATAATAAAAAAGTTAAATATTTTAATAACAAAGACAACAATAATAATAATAATAATAAATTGATATTTTTAAATATTTTAAATTTGGGAAAAACAAAAACAATTTATAAAATCTATCTGACCTTTCCAAGCCTAGAAGTCACAAGCTTAAAATGCGCTTATATTTCAGGTTTTCCATGAGTGTGAACCCTGCAGGACTATTTTGAGACAGGAGGTCATCTGAAGCGTTGACGCCGGTCGTACCTCTTAGTGGTGATGTCCTGTCCCTGCAGGTTCTGCGGGTATCTCAGGGGTGATGGTCCGGAGTGGAAGAACTGGGCCACGAGTTCAGCACAGGCCCGCGGCTCCAGACCCAGAGGGTTTGCGGTGCCACATGACTTCGCGAATGCCAGCTAGGAGATCAGAACCGACAAGTTAGACAAACGCGAGAGCCAGGAACGTGTGTGTGTGTGTTTAATACAGCATCACAAATGCACAGACTTTAGCATAAAAAGCATCACTCTTCATTTGAAGCCCCCATACAAGCCTATTTACACACGTCAGAGTGGCATTCAATCTGGCACAGCTGCTGATTATCATAAATAAATGTCAACAATGGCACAGAAAAGCTCCAGATGAGATGACAGGAATTATGACGCAGCTTTCCCAGGCCGTGCTCTTCTGAGCCGCCAAACAAAAGACAGAAGAGAGGTCTCTTCTGTAAATCAGGGAAAAATTTATGATATTTATTTTTTGCACAGAAAAACAAAAACAAAAATTCAATTAAATTAAACTTTATTAAAGAAAACTTTGTAATTTTTTTTTTGGGGGGGGCTTTCAACAATTGAAAACAGTATTACACTTATTGTTTTTATGCTTAAACCCTATTTCGTCTTTGACCCATATATAACTAAATCTGGTTCTCTAAAGACAAAATAAATATATTTTAACATATATTTACATTGCAATATATAAACAATGATATTATATACATTTAAAATCAATTTCTTTAAGTAAGTGTTTTCATTATCAATGAAAGTGAAATGCGGAACATAAAATGCTTAAAAAAAAAAATCTAAAACTAAATATGGTCTTCAAAATAAATATATTTACATAATAATGTATATAATCGTAAAGAAATGTTTTTCTTTTAAATGCTTTTGTAGAAAGAAATTGTTCTCATTCTTAATGAAAGTGAAAACTAATTCTGGTCTTCAAACCACAAAATATATATATTTAATATACAGTATATTTACATAATAATGTATATAATATTACGTTTATATATTCAGTGTTTCCCATACATTGATTTATTTGTGGAGGCCCGGCATTATATCAAAACTGACCACCACAAATAGATTTGTGGAGCTTACACTTCGTTAAATAAACATTTCAAAATCAAAACGCGGTGCGGGTGTTTTATATGAACGTATCTTTGAAGGGAACCAACTGTCTTCAGAAAAACTTCGATGTCATTTTCATTTCATATTAAACAAGTAAATGGGGTAAATTTCAAATGTAAATTTCTATGCACATGACATTTTCTCCAGTCACCTGAGCTTCCCAGCATCCTCTGGCAGCGTAGTCCCTGAGCGTGCGCATGCACTGCAGATACCTGCCGGGGTCAGCCGTCTGCAGACAGAGCATTACAGCAGCCTTCAGCATCACCAACAGAGAAACAGAAGCACCGTGACCATGAGTCCTGAAGAAACTCTTACCGACGTCCCGCGGTTCATTTCCCACAGCAGATACAAGCTCTGAACGTTCCCGCAACGCGCAGACTCCTTCAGCATGGCCGTGGCCTCGTCACGCTTCTCCTCATCCTGATAAACACAGAGTCACCAATCGTGTTTACCACCTGCCCCTCAGTCTGAGCGGTTATTATGAGACAACCAGTGAAGAGCAGTTATCATTAACATTAAAGGGTTAGTTCACCCAAAAATTTTAATTCTGTCATTAATTACTCACCCTCATGTCGTTTCAAACCCGTAAGACCTTTGTTCATCTTCGGAACACAAATTAAGATATTTTAGATGGAATCTGAGAGCTGTCTGACCCTCCCATAGACAGCAATGCAACTGAAATGTTCCCAAGTCCCGAGACGTAGCAAGGAGATCAGCAAAATAATCCATGTGGCATCAGGGGTTCAACAGTAATTTTACAAAGCTACGAGAATACTTTTTGTTTGCAAAAAAAAAAAAAAAAAACGACTTTATTCTACAATTTGTTTCCTCTGCGTCACCCTGGTGCCATTTTGGAGAATATCAGCTGGACGTAAACAGCGTATGCTGTTCCAAAGACTATAGAATACCCTTAAAGAGACTTTGGCTGTTCTGTGTAAGCTGCGTCACACGGATACGCTGTTTTCGTTCAGATCAAATCACAACAACGTAGGAAACAGATCCGGCGTGACGCAGCTGACACAGAACAGCATACGCTGTTTACGTCCAGCTGATGTCATATGGATTATTTTACAGATCTCTTCGCTACGCTTCTGGACTTGGGAACATTTGTGACCCAGGACCACAAAACCAGTCATAAGGGTAAATTTTTCAAAATTGAGATTTAAACGTCATCTGAAAGCTGAATTAATAAGCTTTCCATTGATGTATGGTTTGTTGGGATAGGACAATATAATTGAGATACAACTATTTGAAAATCTGGAATCTGAGGGTGCAAAAAAATCTAAATATTGAGAAAATCGCTTTAAAGTTGTCCAAATGAAGTTCTTAGCTATGCATATTACTAATCAAAAATTTAATTTTAATATATTTACAGTAGGAAATTTACAAGATATCTTCATGGAACATGATCTTTACTTAATATCCTAATGATTTTTGGCATAAAAGAAAAATCAATCATTTTGACCCATACAATGTATTTTTGGCTATTGCTACAAATATACCCCAGCGACTAAAGACTGGTTTTGTGATCCAGGGTCTCATTTCAGTTGTATTGCTGTATATGCAGACAGCTCTCAGATTCCATCAAAAATATCTTTAATTTGTGTTCCGAAGATGAACGAAGGTCTTACGGGTTTGAAACGACATGAGGGTGAGTAATTAATGACAGAATTGTCATTTTTGGGTGAACTAACCCTTTAAGTGCTTTCTTTTTGGGACCTTTTGACTTTGAGAAGCACAAATGATAAAACCCCTTGACAGCAAACATCAAATGAGCAACCCGAACCCAACATTACAATGTGACCAGGTGTCTGTCAGCATCTTGTGAAGGCCAGAAATGAGCAACACCAGTTTTCTGCTCTTGACTTGGAGGACAATCCATTCAGAGATTCGGTCTTTGAAGTCTATTAGAGTGTTTTTACACAATCATTCTCAGATTAGAATTGCATTTTGTAATGCAAGTTTCAAGAATAAAAGCAACACTCACATCAAACAGCCGAAGGACTCTAGCCAGACAGTACAGTAACGTCCCTCTCCGGCTCTGTAAAGACAAGAAAGCAGGAAGAAAGAGACATTAGAATGTGTTTAGAATGAGATGGTAATGAATCCTGCAAAATCTGTGTTATGATTAACAAATATATATTTGATAAATATGACATTTCCTGTCAATTTTGTAGTCAACATGAAAAAAAAAATCCACTTCTTTCATACATTTATTTGATTCAAATATAGTAAAAACAATATTGTGAAATATTTCAGTTTTTTCTATTTGAATATATTTTAAAATGTAATTTATTCCTGTAATAAAAAGCTGAATTTTCAGCATCATTACTCCAGTGTTCAGTGTCACATGATCCTTCAGAAATCATTTAATATGCTGATTTGCTGATCAAGAAACATTTATTATTATTATTATCAATGTTGAAAACATGTTTTTGCTACTTTTTTTTCTTTGTATATAAGATAAAAAAAAAGATTCTTTGATTAATAAAAAGGTTCAAAAGAACGGCATTTATTTTAAATAGAAAACTTTTATAACACTAGAAAATGCAAAGCGCAATTCTCAGTTCAAAACTAGACAGTGTTGATAAATTAATAAATAACGAAATAAGAATTCTTGCAGAAGGTGTTTACAATAACAAGCTCATAAAAGTAAAAAAATTCAAATAAAATATTCACAAACGGTTTTAGTTCCCAATCCGAATTCGGTCTCATTAAATATCGCTTTTCACTCTGAACTATATCACATTACACAAGTGAAATGAATAGTCATTTCACATTGAATTTAATTAACAATAAGTTAAATGCTTAACATTAAGAATTGTAAAAAAAAAAAAAAAACTTAAATTGTAAGAACAAAGAAACTGTGCATTTTCCCAGGAGAACTGTACTGGCAATGAATGCTGGGATATTCAGGAATCGCTCACCAGGTTGGTCTCACACTCAGCTTCGAGTCGGTCGTACACCACAGCCTTACAGCAGCCTCCAGACATGGACCACGGCGGCCGGATGAACAGCCAGATGAAGGGCTCGGCCAGCGGGGACCGGAGGCTCTCGGCCAGGCTGAAGTACCGGGATGCCATGAGGCCGCACAGATCAGCACGTCCCTCCTCACTGAGCGAAGCTGCAAGACATTCACACATCGTGAGGAGCACAGGACAGCTTTGAGCAGTCAGTCAGACGATTAAATCAATCAACCAATCAATCAGAGCATACATAAAGACACAGGAACACTGGGAATGAGAGCAGAAACTTACGCCCTTCATTGTACAAATACGCAATTCCTAGTTTCGCAGCAGCTTCAAAGTTCCCTTTCTCCGCAGCCCTAGATATTGTAGAGGACAAGCAGGAAAATAATGAGGAAGACTAAATGAAATAAGCATTTAAATAATTAAAATTAATTATTTTGTACTGAACCATTTTGAAAGTGAATAGTGGGGAAACATTTACATCAAGCAGGCACTAGCAAGCACAATTTAGGCAAAACCATGGGAACAATAATAATAATGATTTTTAGTATTATTACTTAATAATATTAAAATAATAAATATTACTATTGTAAAAAAAATCGTGCATTTAAAAAATATATCATTATAATAAGTTTATTTTACCATACAACTGTAAAGTTACAATACTAATATCTATGGTTGTCTTAATTTATTCATTTTAAAACGTTAAACCACCAAACTTTTATTCGAATCAGTCTGAATCTAAATTTATTTTAAAGGGATAGTTCAGCCAAAAATGAAAAAAATTCTGTCATTAATTACTCACCCTCGTGTCATTTCAAACCCGTAAGACCTTCGTTCATCTTCAGAACACAAATAAAGATATTTTTGATTAAATCTGAGAGCTTTCTGACCCTCCATAGACAGCAATGGAGATGTTTTATGGCCCAGAAATACAGTAAGGACATCGTTAAAATAGTCCATGTGGTAATCTCGTGAACGGAGACTGACACGGAAGAGAAGAAATTGTTGAATAAAGTCGTTATTTTTTGTTTTCTTTGCGCACAAAATTTTTTCTTGTAGCTTCTTAACATTACGGTTGAACCACTGATGTCACGTGGATTAATTTAACGATGTCCGACTCCTTACTACCTTTTTGGACCTTGAATGTGTCAGTTCCCTTGTTGTCTATGGAAGGTCAGAAAGCTCTCGGATTTCATCAAAAATATCTGAATTTGTGTTCTGATGATGAATGGAGGTCTTACGAAGACGACCCCCCTTTTCCCAGATGTACCTTTTGGAAAAAGGCTTTTTAAAAACCAAATCTTGCTTTTTTTCTCAGTAAAACACATTTTGTCTTCAATTATTTTCATATTGCATATTTTTCCTATTTTAATTTTTGTTTTGAAAGTATGGTAAAAACTGGTCAAATGTACCATCACATTTAAAAAAAAAAATACACTTTTTGATATACCATAAAAAAAAAAAAAAACAGGTAGCCCATCTGAATTAGGACATTTAGGCTATCCATCTAATAATAGCCTACCAAACTCTTATTAACAGTAGAAGTTAAATCTTACTGTAGTCTTCAAATCTGGGTACTGTCTTACGTTTTAAAATCACAAAGGGAGTTTGGTCCCGTCAGGCTTTTTTTCTTTTGTTTTTACTCGTGATCTTGACAACACGCATTACATTACGTATTTCATGGCACACTCGTTTTAATGCGTATTTGGCGCCACCTATTGTTGTGGGTGTATTATCGACATGTCAAAGTCTAGACCCTGAATTTAAGACGACCGCGTTTTTTCAGATGTATTTCCAAGAAAAAATATGGTAATTAATGACAGAATTTTAATTTTTGGGTGAACTATCCCTTTAAGGTTCTTATCTGCATCTCAAACAACTGGAAACATGGTGAAAATGTTGGTAAATACCATACCTCTCAAAGAGCCAAACGGTATCCGGGACCGGCCAGCGGTCTTTGAAACTCACTCGAGCCCAGACACTCGAGTTACTATCGATAACGTCACGAAGATGAGAATGAACCTGTGGCACATGATATTCACTATTATAAAACCGCTTTTGGTTAACAGATGATTTAGGAGGTTAGATGTTTGCATCCGGGCTTGACTAACAGCTCTGACGGCGAGGAGATCCTCAGCGGAGAGGCACTGGAGGACACACAGCAGCAGCTCTTCAGGAAGGGACAGCAGCGTGACGGCAGACGCACGCTTTCGCACCCGCTTCCGGAGAGGCAGAGAGAAACATTTGGCACATCGACAGTGGAGCACTGGAGACAAGGAAGAAGAAATTCACTGTTAAAGGGGTCATATGATGCGAATTCAATTTTTCCTTTCTCTTTGGAGTGTTACAAGCTCTTGGTGCATAAAGAAGATCTGTAAAGTTGCAAAGACTAAAGTCTCAAATCCAAAGAGATATTCTTGATAAAAGTTAAGAGTTAACCACGCCTACCTAAAACGGCTCGTTCTAACATGCCCCCACATACCTACATCACTATGTGGGAAGATTTGCATAACGCCGCCCAAATGTTCACGCAACGAAAGAAGGCGTAACTTTTATTCTCACTGTAGTATTGTTGCCGCTGCCGCCATGTCGTGAAGGCGCTGTGTGCTTCGTTGTGAAAGTGAAACTACTTTGTTTGGTCTTCCAAAAGAGGACGATATCACTTCGTCATGCCTAGAGCTGATCCGTGCTGGTCGCTGAGGAAATACTACAACTTTGCGCTGTGGATCGCCGGATCGGCTTTCACCGTGGACGAAGCGGAGTCCAGCCCGGAGTCGTCACATGTGGTTGCCGCAGGCATCACAGTATGGTGAGGGGCGTAACATTTCCGTCACACGCTTGAGGAATTCGGCCAATCACAACGCACTGGATCGCTGGCCAATCAGAGCACACCTCGCTTTTTCAGACCGATGAGCTTTGTAAAAATCGACGCGTTTCAAAAAGGCGGGGCATAGAGGAGAAACAATAATGTACAGTATGTGGAAAATAATGTGTTCTTTGAACCTTAAACCGCATAAACACATTTCATTACACCAAATACCCAAAATACTGTTCTTTTTAGCAACATCATATGACCTCTTTAAAAATGCAACAAAGAAGCCGTGATTGACTTCCAAATCAGTGTGAATCCAAATAACTTTGTGAATTGCAATTCTGCAACTGTTTCGATTAACTGGCCATTTAGAGATGAGCAATATAATAACTGTGTCTAGTGGCCCATCAGCAGAATTATTATATTCATCAGCGTTAAATTGCATTTTTATATGCCATATCTGCACTATATCAAGTCACTCTGCACACTAATTATTGAATTTGGCCATTAAAACATAAATAAACGCAAATCTTAATTAGCCGAGCACTGCAAAAAGTACTTTAGTGGTAAGTTACTATGGTATAAAGATGGCAATACCATGGGACTTAGACACACACACTATGGTGCCAATGGATCACTATAATCATAAACCATGCTATTTATGTTACACCAATGTACTTCAAAAAATATCTTGGTATAAGCCCAATAAAACATGGTATTACCATGGTACTACACTGGGACGTTGCATTGAGAAATATAGGTCACCAAGAGAGATTATTTACATCGGCTTTTGAGTCTAAATGGTTTTAAATGCTTAAAAACGACTAATACTAGCAGAAAACACGCATTTGATATAATAACGATTAGTTTTGTTGCTTTGCAGTGGCAGTTTTGACATGCTAACAACCAGTAGCCAGTTTTCCCTCCTTATTGATTAAAGCAGTCCTGGGACAGACGACAACTGGCCTCTCTTGAGGAGATATGACACTAACATGGACTAAAACGACTTCATCAACACTCTTATGGTTAATAGAATATTTATATTTAGATAATTAAAGTTTATTTCAATTCCATACCGGTTAACAGCAATAGCTCTGTCTAAAGTTGTGTAGCTATTGAATAAACTTCAGCCCTGACTATGATGAGATAGAAATATGTATCGACGAAATATGTAATTATACAGTTATTAGGGTTAGATAACTGAAAATGAATCATTTAGGGCGATTAAAGTAGTTACTTACCGCCCGCTTTCATTTCAAGGAAGGATCTGAGAAGTCAGCTTTCAACAATAATGCTTCACAGTGAAATTAAATGATAATATACTTAAACCCTTGATTACTAGAGCTTAAAATTAATAAAAACCAGTTCTACTGATTAACCTACTAAATTACTGTTAACTAATAGTGTTGCACAGTTTAAAACACAACTCTCTTCTGACTCGACCACGCAACTTGCACTAAGCCCCGCCCCCGGACGCTTAGCCACGCCTGCGCGGACAGTTTAAACATCAACTCTGGGCGCTCACTGGCCAGAAAACGAACACGCCCATCGCGGCCGCTGCTGCGTTCTGATTGGCCATCGTGCGAAGCTCGAAGCGCCATTGGTCCGCTTTTAAAGACGTCGATGTATTGGCTGGAAAGATGCTATTTCGAATTACGCGCTTACAGTGCTGTGGGACAGGACCGACGAGACTGGTCTATATACATATATATATATATATATATATAAAATTTAATTATAATTTATGCATTTAGCAGACGCTTTTATCCAAAGCGACTTACAGTGCATTCAGGCTATACATTTTTTACCAGTATGTGAATTATTAATTATATATATATATATATATATATATACATACATACAATACATACATACACACACACACACACACATTATATAACAAACCTTTAAGCCAAAATATTTATAACATAATAAATCTTTAAATATACATTTTTAAATATAAAAATAGTATTTTTTACTTAAAAAAATATAATTGTTAAATTTTTAAAAATAATTGATTTGCAACATATGGTTGCATATTTACTGTTGACAAACTTTTATCATCAGCTAAGGACTGATAGTCAAATATATATATATATATCATATTTAATTCTTTTGGTTGCTGTTTTTTATGAAAAACAAACCAAATAAATAAATAAATTGAGATGAGATATTGATTATAGTTTAAATGACTTTATTATGTGAGAAGAAAGAGACTGCAGAGTAATGCAAGAGACATAAAACTAGCACAGCTCTGTAGGAAACCCACTGCTTAGGTCAAAGGTCAATACAACTATCATTTTACAAAAATATTGATAGCAAAATGACGCAATCAGAATCAAGTATTTTAGGGAGGAAGGAGTGTAATACATTTCTTAAGTCTTTTTACTCCATTTGAAGGTTGAAGATGTCACAAATAATTTTTTTTGGGGGGGGGGGGGGGGTTGGCTTAGTGTTATGTTAGAATCATTATTATACACTTATACCTTTTGTTCTTTAATATTTAGAATTGTTTTTAGCTTTATTTTTTGTCTTTCATTTAAATGTTACGTTTTGAACACAGGACTCAACCTCATGTCAGGTCATAATGAGACTTCGTCATAAATGAGGGTTTTGTATTCATGGTAACCATCACAAAGTGCTGACGATTTGCTTTCATCAAGCCTGTCACTTCTGACAGAGTGATTATTAATGGCTTTCACCACAGACAAAGAGAAGGGGAAAAACACCACACATATAATAGAATGATTATTCATTTCATAGTTCGAGTCATTTTTGTTTGGTTCTATAGCCTGATGAGTTCCACAAAATTAAAGGAATAGTTCACCCAAAATGAAAATTTGTTGAAAATGTGTTCACCCTCAGGTCATTCAAGACGTAGATGAGTTTGTTTCTTCATCAGAACAGATTTGGAGAAAATTACAAATGGATGCTCTGCAGTGAATGGGTGCCGTCAGAATGAGAGTCCAAACAGCTGATAAAAACATCACAATAATCCACACCACCCCAGTCCATCAGTTAATGTCTTGTGAAGTTAAAAGCTGCGTGTTTGTAAGAAACAAATCCATCATTAAGACGTTTTAAATTTAAACCATCACTTCTCGCTAAAATACAAGTCCATAATTCGTAATAACTCTTCCTCCAGTGAAAAAGTTCAGAGGGCTGCATTTTAGCCAAATGCAATGGTTTGAAGTAAAAAAAGAAAAACCGCCTTGATGAATTTGTTTCATACAAACACACAGCTTTTCTCTTCACAAGACATTAATTGATGGACTGGAGTGGAGTGGATTATTGTGATGTTTTTATCAGCTGTTTGGCTCTCATTCTGACGGCACCCATTCACTGCAGAGCATCCATTGGTGAGCAAGTGATGGAATGCTACATTTCTCCAAATCTGTTCTGATGAAGAAATATACTCCTCTTGGATGGGGTGAGTATTTTATTTATGTATGTATGTATTTATTTATTTACTCCCTCTGATACTCTCTCTGATACTAATATCACAAAGGGTAAATGAAGTGCATGCAAGACTGTTGAAGTGCATATATTATATTCAAGTCATATAAAAAGCTTTAGTTAAAGAAAGCAACTCGGATGCATTTGACCCAGCTCATGTAATCTAATAATATGTGAAGAGCCAGAGGTGTTTAAGGTGGTCACTGAGAATTAGATTACTGGCAGCAACAAGTAAATTAATATAAACAACACTCAACAACTGCATTTAACCGAGTTACAGGTGCAGAGAAAGCTAGCTTAGAGAAGCCTACTTTTATGTGATACAAGATTTTTATCTGTTTGTTTTTCTCTCTTTGTAAGATGTTTTTTGCACAGTTAAGCATTTGACTTCACTTAAACCTGAACAAATGTCTGAAGGTTTTTCAGCCTTTGCTGGTTGCCAGGTCTGCCAAACAAAATCAGCCTAATTGCTAATCAAAACTAGCCCAATTGTGTTTGTCCCTGCGTCCCAGTATACCATCCGGCGAAATAAAAATGATGGTGCCATGGGTGGGAACATGCAGAATAAGGGGCGTTAATATTATAATGAGATCCCTTTGCTACGTCACCAAGGGAGCGAAATCAGACGCACTGGTTTTCTCAGACGCTTGCAGAAAAAGGCTTACCAAAACAAAGTTACTGAGTTAATCTTTTTCACGTTTCCTTGGTTGGTAGATGCACCAGGGACCTGATTATAGCACTTAAAACCTGGAAAAGTCAGATTTTCATGATATGTCACCTTTAATGTATTATCTTAATTATGAACACACTGGTTTGTAATGCAAACAGTTTTACCGTTTACTGCACTTTGTTATTCTTCTCATTATTTCTCTACCGCGGCTAATGAACCGGAAGTCTTGTCCATACTTCCGCGTTGAAGAATAAGGTGGAAACAAATTGAGAAAAACACTTGCCGTTTAAAGAGGTCATATGATGTTGCTAAAAATAACCTTATTTGGTGTATTTGGTGTAATGCAATGTGTTTATGCGGTTTAAGGTTAAAAAAACACATTCTTTTCCACATACTGTACATTATTGTTTCTCCTCTATGCCCCGCCTTTCTGAAATGCATCGATTTTTACAAAGCTCATCGGTCTGAAAATCGAGGTGTGCTCTGATTGGTCAGCTATCCAGTGCATTGTGATTGGCCGAATACCTCAAGCGTGTGACAGAAATGTTACGCCCCTACCATGCTGTGTTTCCATGTGTCCTGGCGCGACAAGAATGTATTATATAAAATAGGACGCTGTGCTACAGCTAAAATTAGCGCTTCCTCCATTTTTGAATTTCTGTACAGAGAGGATCTTCTACTGGTCACACGCCTTCACGTGATGCGAATTCGGCCTTTGAGCACAGACTCATTGTAGGCTACTCTGCAGGTTCAGGAAACAGTTCTCCATAAAATGTGCTGCACACATCTGAATATTTGGGTTGAACTGTTCTGGAACAGTGTTGTAAATACAACTTGACCACTGATTCTAGTCGTGTCCTCTTTTGGAAGGCCAAACAAAGTAGTTTCGCTTTCACAACGAAACACACAGCGGCCTAGAGTGAGCAGAGGCCGGAGGCCTAGAGTGATGAATGGCCGGCGGGCTTGAGAACTGCGCGGCCGGCGGATTCGACGAAGGAGCGCTCGGCGGGCTTGCAGCAACCACATGTGACGACCCCGTGCCGGACTCCACTTCGTCCACGGTGAAAGCCGATCTGGCGATCTACAGTGCGAAGTTGATGTATTTCCTCAGCGACCAGCACGGATCAGCTCCAGGCATGACGAAGCGGATATCGTCCTCTTTTGGAAGGCCAAACAAAGTAGTTTCGCTTTCACAACGAAGCACACAGCGTCTCCACGACATGGCATCAGCAACAAAACTACAGTGAGAATAAAAGTTATGCCTTCTTTCTTTGCATGAACATTTGGGCGGTGTTATGCAAATCTTCCCACATAGTGACGTAGATATGTGGGGGCGTGTTAGAACGAGCCGTTTTAGGTAGGCGTGGTTAACTCTTAAATTTTATAAAGAATATCTCTTTGGATTTGAGACTTTAGTCTTTGCAACTTTACAGATCTTCTTTATGCACCAAGAGCTTGTAACACTCCAAAGAGAAAGAACATTTTTAAATCGCATCATATGACCCCTTTAAAGGCAGAGAAATATGCCTACCAAATGAGCAGCATCATTAAATGGGAGTGTACGTGCCTGCTGAAGAATCAAAGGTTCCAAATGAGGTCAGAGTTAACCCTGTGTGTGTTTCCATGGCAACCTGAAACCATATTATAGTTGGAAATTGAGGTTTAGCGTGTAGTTGTGGCTCTCAGCGGTAGATTCTGCTAGGTTCTAGTTGATCGCCAGTGTTTATTGGCTCTCGTCTGTGAATTAAGTGGAGGAAAACGTAACATAAACAAAAAATGATACAGCAGCCCATGTAAAATTCTTCTTACGGACCAGACTACTGAACTCTGTAATCTTTAGAAAAATAAATATCCTTGTGTTGTAATTTAAGTAGTTAAACAGACTTTCAGAAATATGCTCTGGGCAAGATCAGGCACTTTAACTTTAATAAATCAAACTTTGATTACTTACACAAAGATGAGGAAATGGAAACAGAATGGAAATAAATCTGTGAGGGACTGATAGTTAGCTTACATGAGGACGTCAACTTAAAAGTTATTTTGATAATCAGATTTAAGACTTCTATTAAATGAATGATATACACAAACCAACTAAACATTACAAAATCCATTGTCTCCACTGCTATACTTACCGATGTAAAAAAACAAACTTACTGATGTTTGTGCTGTTGGTTTCATAGATATGTACAGTATATGTATATACAT